ACTTATAGGACCATTGTCTGCCAACCCTATACATGGTGTTGGGTACACTCCCCACTTCATAGAAATACCTAGTAGCTCAGCCTGTCTACCCAGCTATTCACCCATATACCCATGTTTGCCTTCACTGACAACACAGTACTATATGTGCAAAAGCATTCATCTGTGTTGTCTGCACCTCCCATGTACCTCTCTAGGTCTTCCTCAATGCCACCATGTTCATCACTCACATTTGGTACATTGCCTTTCTCTTCACTCAAATCAATACTTATCTCTACCTATCTAACAGTGTTCCCTACCCTGCCCTCCCACCCCTGGTAAACAACAAAGAAAATTTCCTTCCATAGATAAAGCTTTCCTTGACTTTTATAATAATGGACTAATACAATATTGCCCTTTTGTAATCGACTTATTTCACTCAGCATAATGTCCTCCAAGTTCATCCACATTATGCAGTGATTTGCAGATTCTAGGTTCTTCTTTAGAGTTGCATAATATTCCATTGTGTGTATGTACCATAGTTTGGTTATCTATTCCTCAGTTGATGGACACCTAGGTTGTTTCCATCTTTTGGCTATTGTAAATAGTGCTGCAATGAACACGGGTGTGCATATGTCTGTTCTTGTTATGGCTCTCACTTCTTTAGGATTATATACCTAGTAATGGAATGACTGGATCAAATGGTATATCTAATTCCAACTTTTTAAGAAATCGCCATACTGCTTTCCACAGTGATTGTACCATTTTACAGTCCCACCAGCAGTGTATTAGAGTCCAGATCTCTCTGTATCCTCACCAGCATTTGTTATTTTCTATCTTGTTGAACTTTGCTACTAGTTCTGGGACAAGATGGTATCTCATTATTGTTTTGATTTACATGTCTTTAAACCATTCCCTGGAGAAGGATGTCATGCTTGGTAGGGTGGAGGGTCGATGAAAGAGGGGGAGGCCTTCAGGGAGATGGATTGATACAGTGGCTGTGATGATGGGCTCGAGTATAACATGGATTGTGGGGCTGGCGCGGGATCGGGCAGTGTTTCGTTCTGCTGTGCATGGGGTCGCTATGA